ATTTTTTTTAAATGTTATAAATGTGTTATTAAAAAAAATCTTCCCCGACTGTATGTCATTGCTTCGGTTTAACAGTGGCCCCTTTGGTTTAAAGACCCCGTGAATTGGCTTGATGACAAGTTTTCTTTTGTATGTTGCCATCAGTTTTACAGCCAGACTACAAACCACATAGCAAACCCGTACTTAACATCTTGTACCGTGGATGCAACCAATCAAGGCAACTTCAAAATTAATCAAATTTCTACTTTCTTTTTAATCAGTTCATGTTTTGGAAAATAAACTGATGAACCATAATTTGGCACTTCTTATTACTAGTTGAATGAAGGTAGTATTTATAATTAAGAGGGACATTCTCATTCTGAAGAGTATTTTATTGGATAAAAATGATATACACATCTGTGGACAAGAAGATTCATCAATCTGTTTGGTCTCATTAATAGCTAACTACTAAACAGAAAACTTTCATGTGGTCTTTAATGTTGGCTTTTGTTTTTGGTAACAGTTGACAAATAACAAACAATAAATGACAGGTAAGTGTGGAAAATAGGGCAAAATGGATTTTATAACCCTGCATTTGAGTGCAACATAATGAGTCTTCATTCCGTTTACAGGCTTGTCAATGAGAATGAAGTCAAACAGTGGCGGGACCAAGCCGAAAAGTTCAGAAAAGGTAACGGTTCACAATGACTTGCATAGCTGAGCCTGGGTGAACTTATTTAATGATAATGCATGTGTGTTTTTTAGAACACTTAGAGCTGATGGCTCGGCTGGAAAGGAAAGAAAGGGAGTGTGACACCAAGACACAAGAGAAGGAGGATATGATGAAGACACTCAACAAGATGAAGGACAAACTACAGAAAGAAGGAGTGGAGTTGCGCTCTGCCAGGGAGCAAGTATTAGACCTGTCCTCCCGAATAGGCGACTTTTCAGTGAGTTCACCATCTGTCACTTTCTGGTGTGCTGTACTGTAGTTGTATGATTTACTTTGATATGCATAAGTAGAACAATTATGATTTACTTTGATATGTATGAGTAGAACAATTGCACAAAATGTTAGAATTTCCATGTTGATGTTTTTATTGCGTTGTTTAGTAAGAGATGCTTAAGGAGAAGCTGTTTTGGTTAAGCATGAGTGATTTGTGATGGTTTATACATTGCAGCAAATTTGTCTAACATATTTTAATGCGAATTATTTGATCTTTTTCACTTTAAGAGTGGTGGAGTTCATTTACCCATTCCCCCTCCGCTTCCTGGGAGCCCGATGGCTCCACCTCCACCACCTATGATGATGGATAGCTTCCCTCCTCCTCCTCCACCTATTACTTTTTCTTGCCCACCCCCACCACCTCCTCCACCTCCCCCGGGAGGTCCTCCACCCCCACCTGGGGCCCCGCCCATCTTTTCTGGGGTTCCACCTCCACCTGGACCTGCTTCCATTAGCTCCACAACCAGCCTGTGCACAAAGAGCATCCCCCAACCTTCACAACCACTCAAATCCTTTAACTGGTCCAAACTGGGAGAGGTGAGTCAGTTTTTGTTTTATTTATTTATTTGGTGGTACTTGCAGTATTAAAATACCTCATAGTTAATACAAAGTAGAGAGATTAAGAGATTAAGTCATTTATTTATGTACGTATTTAGTTATTTATTTTTTTCCAGTTTTCTGAGACTAACCCTTTACAATACATTACAGTCATCTTTCCTGATCATCTTCCTATTTTTTCAGAACAAGATCACTGGTACCATCTGGTATGAGATTGATGACAGAAGGGCCTTTAAAGTTCTTGACCTAAAAGACATTGAGAAGATGTTTTCAGCTTACCAGAGGCAGCAAGTATGTAAATGTGACACACAAAAAACTTTTTGCATTCAATATCAGTCAGATATTTCTAGAATAACTTCTGCAATGATCTTCTGAAATAACAGCTGTACTGACATTCTTATGCATGTTTGAGAAATGTGTTTGTGTGTGTGTGAAAGAGGGAGAGAGTATTTTGTAACCTCAGGCTTTACAATAGTGACTAAGCAGCTGTTCTTTGCTGGATGGCATGTAATAGATGCTTTAGTGCTTTAAGCATGAAGTAGTATTTTAGTGCATTTAGAGCAGAAATGCTGCAGATATGTTCTCAGGCCCAATATCAACAAAAGTCAAACAGTGATTTCATACGCAATAGCCAAAGCTTCTTCAGTGTTTTGCAAGAGATTCTGGGGCCTGTGAGAATGTTTGCTGTAGTCAGCTCTGGCTGAGTCTTCTGCTGCTTCAGTTGTTAACTTCTGCATGTCTTCCGATGTTTTTGTTCTTTCTCTGCTAATGTACCTCTGCCTGGCCAGGAGCTGCTCTCTAACCAATCCTTCAAGCAGGTGAGTGGTTGCTCCAATCAAAGCTACTATACTACCAGAAGAGGGTCAGAAATTAACTTTTCTATTAAGGAGCAATATTTGCCCCCTGGAATATTTTTATTTTCACCATTGTAGGCAGTTTTTATAATTGCCTAATTAAATGTGTCTGTGTTGTCTTTTATGTAAAATGCTTACATTTTACCAGTTACTTCAATCAGTCAATACTACAGACTGTTACCAAAACAATTTTATTAACATCAACAAAAAAGTAGTCTTTACATGCAATGGTGGAACACAAACTGTATCTGACATGGCATTTATGTTTATGTACACAGACATTTTAATTCTTCTCAAAGTTGACATACATGTATTTACACAATTACATAATCTAAATAGCCTACATAAAGTAAAAAAAAACAAAATAAAACTTACAGGGTAGGGCTGCAATATTATGACAAACACATTATTGTCAATTATTGTTCTTGATATTGTAATAATTATCATTAATGTTGATTAATTATAAAATACATAAAAATAATTCTGTGTTTAGGGAAACTGTTATATTCTGGCTACACAGTCATAACAAGCAAGGAACCATTTATGAATTAGTTTATTGCATTTTACACATTAGAAAATCAAAATAACAATAGGATGACAAACAGAATGGTTATTCAAACTGAGAATAAATTATATATAGAAATTTAAGCAAGCAAAGAAAGTTCACTGAATGATGACTGAAGCGTTTAATGACAGTCTAGTGCACATTCGTGCAGAAACTTCCCTTAAAATCACTGAAGCTGTCTACACAGCACAATGAATCTGTATTACTTACATAATATCTGTACTTTGTTATTTATGATGAGAGAATTCAAGAGAGTGGAGAATTCAGCCTCAGATTGGATTCACATTCATTAGCTCAACAGAAATATGTGTGATTAATATTCAACGCTGCAATAAATGCATAAAAAGAAAATTGATGCAACATGAGCAAATCTAAATGTAATGCAGCAATCAACACGCTTCATTCCTTTTTTTCCCCAGTTTTGCCCCCTTGTCTTGAATTTGGGGGGCATTTTTGTAAAATTTAGATGCATTTTTGCCCCAAGCCCCCGTTAATTTTCAACCCTGTACCAGAACCTTTAGCCAAGCATACAGCTACATTCACCATCTTGTATCTGTCTATTGTGCTATCTTGGCCACTGTGACCAAAGGAAATCTGAATTAATGTGACAGATGATGAAAAAGTTGGAATTAAAATATTAAAGGAATAGTTAATCCAAAATTGGAAATTCTGTCATAATTTTTCTCACCCATATGTTGTTCGCTAGGTGACTTCTGTTTTTGACAAAACAAAATGAGATTTTAGAGAGAATGTTATGCAGCTCCTTTCCATACAATTAGAATGAATGGAGTGTGGTACTGTCAAGATCCAAAAATGACAAAGCACTATAAAAGTGTGTTTGCTTATATTAATTTATGGCATAATAGGATATAGTGATACCTTATTAACCTTGACAGCCTCTGATCACGGTATAATTTCAATGTATGGAAAGGAAGCAAGTTTGGAGCAACATGGGCTTAATGATAATGGAATTTTCATTTTTTAAGGAACTGTTCCTTTAAGTATTTAAGTGATCTAATTTTCACTTCCAGTCTCATCTTGCAGTAGTAGAATTGTCTATCTTCTCAAATGCCTGTGGAGTGAATAATTGGTGTGTGCAATTTTAAGAATCGGTTACTACTGTGATAGAACAGTAATTGGCTGAATTACTGTAATTATCACAAATGTGTCTAATTATTGAACATTAATACACAGATGACTAAAATGTAGATGAGGCATGTTCTGGAAAGTAATGACCTTTAACCTATCCCGCATTCTTCATGTTACTACTCAGAAAGAGCTGCAGGGGTGTGTAAGAAGTGTGCTTTCTTTGGACCAATG